GCCCACAAAATATGAGTAGGTGTCTGCAAAGACCTAATGATATTGTGAAGTGAGTGTGGCAAATGATGCCACAAAAAATGCTAGCGAAGGTGTTTAAGGGTGTGAAACTGATGTGTTGCCTTTATGGGGAGGTAGAGGTACCAGGTGAGTGCTCTAGCACAAGGGTACAGTGCTTCGCTGGGCTCTAGGGGGAGGAAGGGGTTAAAGGATTACCTTTCTCTAGCGCCGGGCTCCTTCGGCGCTGGGGACTCTCCTCCCTATTCTGACGTCAACGGCTGAATGCGCATGCACGGCAAGAGCCGCACGTGCATTCAGTTAGTCCATAAGAAAGCATTCTCAGTGCTTTCCTATGGAAAATCACAATGAGAAGCGCGGAAGCGCGCCTAGCCGCTGTCAAGGCTGGATTAACCCTAATGTAGAGGCTGGATTAACCCTAATGTAAACATAGCAGTTTCTCTGAAACTGCTATCTTTACAGCAGGCAGGGTTAACCCTAGATGGACCTGGCACACAGACCACTTCATTAAGCTGAAGTGGTCTGGGAGTCTATAGTGGTCCTTTAAGTTCAATGTTTTATTAAACTGAATTTTATGTGATGGATCAGAACACAATAGTCTAAGTTCGTGAAGTGAAATGAGAAAAATATATACATAAAACTATTTTTTACAAATAGAAAACAGAAAATTGGCATGTGCGTATGTATTCAACCCCTTTGTTATGAAGCCCATAACAAGCTCTGGTGCAACCAATTAACTTCAGAAGTCACATAGTTAGTGAAATGCTGTTCACCTGTGTGCAATCTAAGTGTCACATGATCTGTCATTACATATACACAACTATTTTGAAAGGCCCCAGAGGCTGCAACACCTAAGCGAGAGACACCACTAACCAAACACGGCCATGAAGACCAAGGAACTCTCCAAACAAGTAAGGGACAATGTTGTTGAGAGGTACAAGTCAGGGTAAGGTTATAAAAAAATATCAAAATCCCCAGGAGCACCATCAAATCTATCATAACCAAATGGAAAGAACATGGCACAACAGCAAACCTGCCAAGAGACGGCTGCCCACCAAAACTCATGGACCGGGCAAGAAGGGCATTAATCAGAGAGGCAGCACAGAGACCTAAGATAACCCTGGAGGAGCTGCAGAGTTCCACAGCAGAGACTGGAGTATCTATACATAGGACGAAAATAAGCCGTACGCTCCATAGAGTTGGGCTTTATGGCAGAGTGGCCAGAAGAATTACTTTCAGCAAAAAACAAAATGGCACATTTTAAGTTTGCGAAAAGGCATGTGGGAGACTCCCAAAATGTATGGAGGAAGGTGCGCTGGTCTGATGAGACTAAAATGTAACTTTTCGGCCATCATAGAATACGCTATGTCTGGCGCAAACCCAACACATCACATCACCCAAAGAACACCATCCCCACAGTGAAACATGGTGGTAGCAGCATCATGTTGTGGGGATGTTTTTCAGCAGCTGGGACTGGGAAACTGGTCAGAGTTGAGGGAAGGATGGATGGTGCTAAATACAGGGATATTCTTGAGCAAAACCTGCAAGGCCGGACTGGGAATTAAAAGCAGCCCTGGAAAAAAAATATTTACCAGCCCCATAATGCGTTGCGCCAGCATAGTGTGCAGATACAGAGTTAGAACAGATAACTTAAAATTAAAAAGTACTTCAACGTAAAAAGCGCACTCATAGGCTTCAAAATAAACAAAAGTGCAGATTTATTTTAAGCAGACGTGCCTTTGCATGTAATCAATGTTTCAGTCCAACTACCTTGACATATTAAGGAAAGCTTGTTAATGGGACTGAAATGGCGAATGTATGTAGGGCACAACTGTAAAAAATGTTTATTTTGAAGTCCTGTGGGTGTGCTCTTCACTTTAAATATGTTATTGTGCTGGAGTATGCACCTAGCAACAAGACTGGGCCAATATCTGCTCATTACATATGGTACATAGTAATGAAATTTCTCTGTGTATTATGCATTTATAAATGTACATTAATATGTGTAAATATAATAGGTATATATATATATATATATATATATATATATAACTAATACACACATTAATATACATGTCATATACTAGTGGCGGATCCAGAGCCTGAGCCTGAGAGGGGCACTTGTAGATTATTTAAATAAATATTCCATGCACAATAACCACTACTCCTCTGTGTAGTGGTTATGGTGCCAGGAGCGTCGGCATCCCTCCCAGAGTAAGTCGACAAACCGTTTAAGAACAGTTTGACAACTTACCTGGAGTCTGCTGGGATATGGGGCTGTAGTAGGGTATAGGAGCAGTGGTGCAATGTGTGTGAAAGGTTCAGTGTGTGGGTGGGCAGTGTGTAAATGTGTATGGTGTGTGTGTGTGGGAGCAGTGTGTGAATGTGTATGGTGTGTGTGTGTGTGTGTGGGGCAGTGTGTGTATGGGGCTAGAGTTCACTCCTACTACTGGGACCACCAGGAAGTGGTGAGAGTGAACTCTAGCCCGTAGCGCCAGGGCTAGAGTTCACCCTCGTGAGAGCCAGAGCATTGCCCCAGGTCCTCTCTTCCTCCCCTGCCGACTGGCTGC